AAAAAAAGGAGTGAAGAAATTTCCATCTTCACATTCCAAGCAGCTGGTTTTTGGAATTTACAGTAGTGAAGGCACATTCTCTAACCACAGGATGGACACAGGGGAAGAACAGCTATTTCAGCATGTGTGGTTTTGACTATGCAATCATACAAATAGCTAAATCTTCCATCCTGTGCAGACTGGCTCTTGCATGCAGACACACATCCTGTTCCTATAATGAACAGCACCCAATGGAGCATTTTCCAAGCAGACTACTACTAACAAGCTGCTTTTTTGTTTATTGTTGTTGCTGCCATTGTCAAAACTGCTGTTTTTCCCTGTTACCATGAAACAGATTAGACGTCATCTCCTAAATCTACGGCTGAAATGAGACCAACATTCCTCAAATCAAGAGCCAACAGAAAACAAATAATCAGGAAAAATAATTGTGGAAAGGATAAGTTATTTTAATTACCTTCAGAATTATACAGGGATTTGCTCTGGTGTACATTATAATCCCATTGCTTTGCAGGGTTCGCAGACGTAGAGCCAACTTGAATTCCTCTTTCTTGCTGTTTTCAGAAACTCGGTATTTAATGTAACTATTCCCAGCAAAGCTAAGGGATGTGTGGCCTGAAATAAATATTTTGAAAACACACGTTCTTTTATTGACACATGAAATAATTCTACAACTGTCAAGCTAATTAAAGAATTTATAGAACTAATGAAAATATTTAGGAAGAAACCTACAAATACAACCCAACTTTGATGGAGAAGACAGCTTGGACTTATTGCAAATAAACATTCAATTTTCAAGGAAAATTATTTCTGAAGGGTTGAGGGAAAGATCTATTTATTTCTTTCATAGGAAAGAGGGATTTCTCCAAGTATTCAGCATTCATAACATAATCTCCCCCTGGAGGCACCTATTTCTCCTTGCTGATAATGCAGGGAGTCAAAGATGACCATGCCTGTACCTCAGGCAGTTGAATTAAGGGTGTAAAATTGTGCTGGTAGATGCCAATCAAACATTTTCAAGGAGTGTGGAAATACTACGTGCCCTCTGTCATGCAGTCCTGGATTCCCTGAAGTCAACGGAAAGGCTCCATTCCAGTTGGCTCTTTGTAGCCTAGGGACCAACAAAGCTGAAAAGAACTAACAAATGTCCTGAAATTTTTTTCTTTTCAGGATAGTGTACTGTTTTCATTAATAAAGTTTGGAATTTTGCTAATCTCACTCATAATTACAAGACTTAATTAGAACTTTGCCCATGGCAGGAAAACATCTGGCAGAGCAGCCTCTAGGAAAAGCCCCTTTTTTCTCAATAGTCTGTTTTACGGATTTGGGATTCCCAGCGGAAACTGGATCATGGTCTTCCTAGAGAGCCATAGCTGTGAAGTCAACTCTTGTGCGAGGCTCATAAACAGATGCCTTGAGTGCCAGTGCTGAGAAGCTCTGGGCGCTTCCGTTGACTTTAGTGGCATCTCTACCTGCAGATTGACAATTGCAGCCCTTGGTTGCTCAATCACATCCCCTTTTACCCTACTGTGTGCCGGGCACCTGAGCATTCGCCAAGCTTTCCTGGTGGGCACTGGCAGACGAAAGGTCTCCGGTTAGCTTCGTAGCCCACACACTGCATATCCCCTGGACACGGCTTCTCCAGACAAGGATCGTTGGAGCCGGGACACAGCCCTCCTGCAATAAATTAAAATACTATTAGAGATGCAATGTGAAAAAAAAGCGCCACATTCTCTTTAGCAATACAGTGATGAAAAGAAGACACTTACACCTAAATACAAGCCAAGCATGCCTTAAGAATATGAAAAATAATTTAAATCTTCAGAGATGCCCTTCAGAAAAGTGCGTTGCAAAACAATTATGGTTCTTCTCCAAAGGCTGCCATAGGCCCCGTTGTGTACAAAAACAACTATTTTGATCAATAACTGCTTCATAATTGGTGTTGTGACCATCAGGCCAGCAATTTACTCATAAATCCTTGTATGCAGAGAGTTCAGGGATATGAAATGGAGCAAACAAATGACTTGGAGCAACACAATTCCCTTCTCCCCAGTACCTCCATGTGAAGTGAGTTTAGGGAGAGAGCAGATCTCCCTAGAAGACAAAACGTGGAATGGCCATTCCCAGGCTCCAAACTGAAAGAGAAATGTTCATCCTTATCATGCACAGGACACGCTACCAGGCTCATCAAAAGGCAGAGCCAGACTTGCCCAGTCTCCTTGGTCCTCCTGGCTTTTCTCAAATCTCACATCCTATTGAGCACCTCGCCCAGGCTGCAAAAAGTGTATCCTCCTGTTTTGCTGAATGTAACAACCCAAGTCCCATTGCATCTGCACCTCCCTATGTCTGGGCAAGAATTTGCTTTGGACACTAAGAACTCAAAGCGAAGAACTCAATATTTCTGCATGATGCAAATGCCTCAAGGCACTTCAAAACTTTCTAAATTGTTAACACTTAACAAATCCTTGGGTTTGGATACAGATTCTTATTTAATATTTTCAAATTCTCTAGATAAATCTGTTTAGTTTGCTCTTTTCTTAAAAGATATATAAACTGTCTACAATATTGCAAAAGACAATACAGCTGCTCATGCTAAATATATCAATTTTTATCTACTTTCACAATGGCTATTTTTTTTGTGGTTGCTATAGAGAACTTAGCGCATGCAAAGTCTACTTTTGGGTGGTGTGAGACATCTATGGAAGTATATGCCTGTAAGTGCAGACAAAAAGGCATTCCCATCCTTATTTTTGTGGATCCATGACCACGGTTTGAGCACAGGGAGAATCACTTGCTGACAATGGACAGGATTATCTTTCTTTGCTCATCACATTCATTTATTTAAAGTCATACAGGCAGGCAATGATTTTAATGATAGGAAATCAGCACCTCCCCACCTGCTAGTTTTTGAACACTGGTTTGTTTGTTTGCATCAGAACATTAACATTAGTCCAACGCTTTAATTTTTGAACACATGTATTTAATGCACAATTTATAAAGGAAGAAGTCAACTTGTAACAGAGGGAGTCTCCTAAAATAGTGGAAGAAGGAGTCTAACTCTCACACTTTAGCACAAGCCAAGCAGGGCTCAGCCTAAGTGTAGCTGAAATTACCTGGCACTGTAAGTATTCTGTGGAAAAAGACAAATGACTACTGTAGGTTTCAAAGTGGACATGGGCTGCATACAAATATAGCAAGGACTGTAAATGTCTTGCTTGATGTACAGCACAGTCAATTTAATCTTTAACATCCTCCTCTCTTTTGCCAAACATTTGTTTGAGAGCTCTGTGCAGTAAATGATTTACAGTGCCGTCTGTACCACAGTTAGGAAATGATGCACAGCAATCTTTATTAATCAGTTTACCAGGTTACATTAACAGGAATAACAGCAGCAATACACAGCTATATTTTAACTCAAGTCCTACAGAATCAAGGATCAAATGACATTTAACAGGGTTTTGCACTACAGAACTATATTCCCTAGAAATCTAAGGTCTACAGAATTTAACAGACAATGTGATCCTTTCTGTAGCTGGTTTTTAAACTGATTCTCCAGAATCTGATAGTGTACCACAATTATTTTTTAAATTATATCAGGCAGTGAAATAATCTATAGGCTTGTGATCTCCTAACTGTTTCTGCAGGCTATTTTTAATTCATCTTTTTATGATGAACATACAGCATAGCACTGTATACATGGTAGATCTCTTCTCTGAACACACTTTAGCCTTATGTAAGGTTGTAACCCAAGCGAGCCTCTCTGTAGCTGACAAACAGACAAGTCATTTGGACAAAACCCCACAGCTTGTCAGTACGTAGCAGAAAAGGGACACTGAGACTGCAGATGTTTTTGAAATGTTCACAACCTGTAACCTAGGACTGTATCTTTGACATGTTTGACATTAAGCAATAAATCAGTTGCTTACTTTGTTATCAATCTCTGCCAGCTTTTTAGCTGATTCAGACTCTGACTTGCACTTCAGAGTCGTCATTTAAAAAAAATACCTCGAAAGTATCAAACACATTTAGTCTAACTCTGACTAAAGAATTCTTATCTTGGCAGGCCTAGAACAGCTCTTTTAGGGAAACTACAAGTAAATCAACTTTTTATTTATCCTGCTGCAGACAGATTTCATAGCTGTCACAAAAGTTTTAAAATATTCAGACCTGGGAGAAGAAATGTTTTATGCCTGTCTGCATGGTTATAAGCATGTAAGCTACAAATCTGCATTATTGTACTGCCTCAGCTAACATGCATTTTCGGGCTGCTTGCACAAATGTGCTGAGCAAAACTGTGAAACCATTCAAGGTTACTTTGTCCACATCAAAGATTTATGGCTTGAGTTTAAACAAAATTATTTTAATGTTGCATTTCCACTCCAAAGAACAGTCTATTTGCCATTCAATAAGAGATTCAAGACATATGCATTGGATTGATCTCTTCTTCCTGCAGGCAAGTCCAGAAAATCCATGATATTCCCATGAAACTCACATTAGTATTAATAAAGCTGTTCTCTACAAGCTATCACAGAGACATACGGGGCTAGTGTCAACCAGTATCTGACAGGAAAAGGCAGAATAGGCCCACTTTAATTTGACTGATCACCTTCAATCTAATGCTATAAATGAAAGCAGAAGTATTACAACGTCCCCACCAGAATACTGTGGAAGAAAATGCTCTTCCCTTGCGACATTCTCTCAAATCCTGCACATCTAAGGAAGGATCACTCCTAGGAATGTAAATGTAACTTGAAGATTGAGCAATTTAACAGTTGTAAATCAGATGTGTCGTGGGATATTTGGTACGTTTACGTGAGCCTATTCTGCTGAATCCATATGAAGATTAAAAAAAAAAAAGTCTATTTCTCTTGGTAGCAGAGAAAGTTTGTAAGGTGACTCCTGAAAGGCAGAGCTCCAGAAAGCAAGCAGAGCAAAACTCTGAACTGCTATTTTTATCTAATGATCATTTTTGAAGGGAGAAAATAGCCATGATACTTGAATGCTTGGTTAGCAGCCATTTGTTTTTATTTTTGGAGTATTGTGACCAGATATTGTAAGCAGCAATTAGAGTCCTACATAAGTGCAAATACTACCAAATTGGTTCTCCCCAAGTCTACCATGGGCTAAGGTCACCTCTGGGGATGCTGGAGCACACTGCCTGGCACTGTTTGGACATGCTTTTCAATGCGTGCTAATGAACCAGTTTCCACCCCAGTTTTAGAAGAAATGGCTGAGACATCTGATCTATTCCTTGGCCGAACTTCCCTTGAGTTCCCCTATACGATAGCTAGAGCATCCCCTCTCCTTGATTCTCCAGTCATGCCTCCACCTCACAGGTCAGCTCTTTGGAGCAGCTTTAAACAGGATTGTGCATTCTTAGTGCGGGCCTTAAGGGGGAGGAAAGCCTCTCCTTACCCACCTCAAAAGTGTAAAGTTATAAGGGGTAGAGCTCAATCAACCAAATTATCAGATTTATCTGTAGTTCTTTGGTTTCCAAGCACAGTCAGGGCATCTTTTTCTTCATTTTTTTTCTTGGTTATTCTGCCAGAACATCTCAGATGCATTAGTACCTATGTGCTTCTTGAAAATGAAAGAGCTGTGGGAGTTCAAGATCCTAGTATTAACACTTCAGTTCTACAGACATGAATTTAGGTTTCCCATACCAAAACCTGAAAAATACCTGGGACTCCTTAAGAGGTACTATGTGCTCTGAGGAGCTGAGGATACAGAACAACCCTTAATATGTGATTCTATATTAAAAACAGATCTTATAATGCCTCACAGCCTATGTTTTTTTTGTTGTAATATTCACAAAATGCTTCATAAAGTCATGAAGTCTAAATTCCCTGGTTTCACAAGAAAGTGGTCCAAGACTGCTATTCACTAGATTAAATAACGTGGATGTGAGTGTCTGCATTTTCACGGAACAATTTTGGGTCTATTAGAAAAAAAATCCTTCAAACTACTAAGCCAGAACCATATTAAACACTGGAAATGGATTTCATCTCATCTAACTTTAGGGCATGATTCATCTGACTGATTTTAGACATCTAGGGAGAAATGTATCACATCATTAAAAATACCTCATTCTTTCCACTGTCTGGAAATGGGGCCTGGAGTGACCATCTCAGATAAGGATATATACCAGCATTTGTCAAGATGAATACCATCCAGCCTTGTCCTACAAACACATTAATGTAATCTTGCATTTGGAAGATTACAATAAAGAAAGACTTTATAGCAAAGTAGTTCCAACAAAACCAACCTGATTTTTCCCTGTTGATTTTTCTTAAATTGGAAAAAAAATACTTTGCAACATTAAAAACTGAAAACACAAAATATATTTTTGTTTCTCCAACATGAGGCTGTTATGAGAACTATTTGCAGGAATATATTCTGGTTCTCGTGCCTCTGCTTCCCACAAGCACTGACAGATGTTTGCATACCTTCTGCCATACGATGGGAGAACAGCGATTGCATTGCTCCCACGTCCACCCTGGAAAAAGCTCTCGTTTGTTATAATACCCTTCATACAAACACAAGCAAAAGACTCAGAAATCCAAGGAGGCAGTCTGTTATTGGAAAACAATTTGGCGCAATTTTATTGATTTTAAGGGCTTAGATTGATGCATCTGAACTTTCGAACTAATCCCCCCTGTGCTCTTCAGAGGTTCACCCATGCCCTGCTTTGCAGCTCTCCATATTTTCACATTAGGTAACTCTGTTTGCTCACAAAGGTAATCTAGGTAAGTTATGCACAGCTGGCATGCATAAACTGTGCATATCTGTGACATCTGCCAGTGGGAAAAAATCTCCAAGCATGATACATATTTCAGGAACGAGTGAATTAGCTCAAACTCAAGCTTTCTGGGTCATAATTGAATCAGATCAGTGAAAACGTATGTAATGTTTTAATGGGTTTTTCATATTTCAAGTTATCAATATTTACTGGACTGAACCACAAAACTCTGCTAGGAATGAAAGAAGCACAATACTGTCATTATTTCAATTATATCTTGCTAATGCTCTCTTTTTAAAGGAGCTGTGAGAAATCTATTGCGACTTTACTTTTCCTTGATTTGCTCTATTTATGAGCATGTAGGAAGTATGATTAAAGGAAGTATGCAGATTTTTTAAGCTCTTTCTTTTTGGGCCTAGTTCTGCCTTCATGAATGCTAAGGAATATACATAGGTTCTCTAATCAGTATCTCCTCAGAAGTCTGTGTTAGGGTGTATGTGATAAAACCCAGTGTGTATTTGTGTATTTACAAAAACATCAGAACATTTTGGGGGCTGGTTTAATTCAAAACATTTGAAGAGGCTGCAGCATTGACTCATGTGGTGGAAGGCAAAACACAGACTCCCTACTTTTTACCAAGATCTCTTATTTCTGTGCAAGTAAAAGGCCCCAAGACTTTCATCTATCGGGTAGCTAACTATATTTTTTAAACCATCAGCTCTGATCACATGTTTGTTACAGGCTGGATGGTGGGCTAGACATGCCCCAAACCCACCCAAGGCTTTGGGGCTCTGCTCTGCTTAATTTTCAGGTACTTGTGGAACAGCCATGGGAAATGAGCACAAAGCTGCTCCAACCCCCCAAACACCCCAGCTGGCCGGGCAGTGCCTCCTGCAGCTGCCTGCACAGCAATCTGTGTCCATGATTAATGGTGCAGGGGCTGACGGAGCACAGAAGGGCTGCAGAGCAGCACTGCCCCGGAGCAGCCTCTAATCTGTCCTCAGGATTCACTGTGGCAGGACAGAAAAATTTGGAAATCGCAATTCTAGCTAAATTTTTATGCTTCCAGGGCAAACTTGCTGGGCAGGGAGGAAAAAGGAGAGCTGCTGGATCAGAACTGTACAGCTATTCCAAAGTTCTTTCTAGGGTCTAAGCTAAAAGAGCATGGGAGTCACTTCCTATCAGTATTTGATGAGAATACACACCATTACTGATTTAGAAAACTGTATAAATAGGAGTAGTGAAGTGAAATTAGAAAAAGCACAAAGTTTGGCTGCCAGGAAGATTTCTGACCAACAGGACTAGCATCTCTGTGGCGCTGAGGCTCTGCAATTTCCTGGTATATAAATGACACAAAGGTAAGGCTTAAAGAACACAGCAAGTGTTTTGCAGACACTGATCCCGCACCGGCTTCTGGGCTGGGCGGGAGGATGCTGCAGCATCACTCTTCACACTTGTGAAAATCCCTTTATATTTCAGAGCCTTTCAGCTGCACCAAAAAAACAACTATTGTTCCACTATATGTCATCTCTTTCAAACTTTTAACACTATTATTTAAAAGCTGTCCAGCTTCTTGTCTCTTTAACGTACATGAAATACCTCAGGTGCAGTATTCTGGTATTTTCTCAGAATCAAACTTAAAGGCTCTATTATTCATATGCAGCAGGATACAATTACTTGTTAAGTTTTATGCATTAGAGACTTTCATTCTTGCTGAAAGACACAAAGTTCTGCTGACTGTTAGAGAAGCATAGGTTGGTTACTGAGAGACATGATTACGGATTTATTAAATGTGTTTGTGTGTACACGGGTGTGTGTGTACTTAAGTTGCAGGTGATTTAGATGTATTGATTTTACAGCAGTTTCTTTCTCCACACAGAAATGAGGTGGAATGAGGAGCAAATAGCTTGGCAAACAAAAGAAACAGAACTATTATTATAACTGCCTGAGGTTTTATAGTCAAAGTGCAGAATCATAAGGAAGATTAGCTCCCTAGTGTATCTGTCACACACACCCATGCGGAATCTCTGCAAACTGTGAAGCAGCCTGAAACTCAGCCAAAACCCCTCACTGTAGCATTAAAGGTCAGGAGCGGTCCTTGCTCTCAATTACTTAATAAAATACTTCACTGGTTTCACTCCTTTCTGTGAAAATGGACTGGAAAGGCCCTTTTCCCCTGTATGGCTTAGGTCATAAGTCCTCTGGCTTGGAAATTGCTGGCACATCACTAGAGACCAGGTCGCTCTGAGACTTTGGGTTTATTCTAGCATTGGCAGCTGGCAAGTGGGAAACACTCTTCCAGACCCTTCTCTGCCTTTCTCTCCTCTTCCTTTCCCTCCCCTGGAAACTTTATTGCTGGCTCTCATTACGGAGCCTCCAGGAAAGCAGTCTTTGTCAGGAAAGGCCAAAGTTCATCAACTTCCATTTACATCAGTAAACACGGACAATTCTCCCCGAGCCTGAGAAATCAATTCCCACAATACAGCAGCCAATCGTGCCTTAACTCGCTGAATTGAAATGCCCCTTCTAATCTGCATCAGAGGAATAAAAACGATCCTATCGCATAATGCAGAAGGATGGGAGGTGAAGAGGGAGCAGTACTCACCATTGCACATGCAGCGCACATTCCTGTAAAACCGGGGGCACACAAAACTAATTCGGGCCGTGCTATAGGTCATCAGAGAGTGGGAATCGATAGACAGGCTTTGCTCACAGTGTTGCTCCTGACAATCCAGTCCAGAACAATTCTTCTCCAAAATAGCAGAAATACGAATCACATTTTCTAAGTGTCTCCTCGCATTGGCAAGCTTCTGAATCAAGTAGGCAGGCTTATAAAAACCACCGTTGTGCATCTGAACTGCAAACAGCATGTCGAGCTGATTGCTGCCTGCCACGGGCTGAATACTGATGATGTGGAGGCTGTCTTGCTTTTGGGAGAGCACTGCGTTTCGCAAGGTCCGCCTGAAGCCGTGCATGTGGAGGCCCACAAAATCTTCCGGGGAAACATTGTCGAAGCGGATGGTGACCGTGTTCTGCAGCATCTCCTGTAGCAGCTGTTCAACATGGACCACAACATCTATGGGCACCTGGAACCGGCCGTCACTCACAGACACATTCAGGATGTACTTGCCATTATCCAGCCCTCCCAGGGCAATGATTTTCCCGTCATGGTTGTTAACCTTGAACAGACTCCTCTGCTCCGATTTTAGGGTGTATGTGAGGACATCGTACACATCCTGGTCTGTGGCATGAATTTTCCCAATGACTCCCCCTGGAAAATCGTCTTCCATGGTCACAATGAAAATCTCCAGTGGAATGGCAGTCGGTTTGTGAATACTCTCTTCGATAACCCTCACCTGAATGTAGGTGTGAGAAACCTGCTGAGGCTTCCCGGAGTCCTTTGCCTGATGTAATTTGGGAAAAAGAAAACAAAAGAAAAAAAATAAACACACACATAACACAGGCAATAATCATAACTCATTACTCTATATATTTTCATAGTATCAGTACTTCTGAAGACCTCTCAAAAGAGCTTCCCAAACGCATTTGCTAAATACATATGTAAGGAAACGTCTCAGCAATCTCTGGCATTGGAACATACAAACTCTTTAGGGAAGCAAAGATATCTTATCCAAGTAGATTAGAGAGAGAAATGTGTCAGAGGAATGTGTCATTACTCAAAATGAAATGCTCCCAGGATCCCACAGCCATCAACTGTCTTCTCTGCAATAGAGTCATTTGAATGTGGGATATTCTGCAACCAGAGCTTGGGCTCACGTCCCCTCCACACGAGAGACTGAAGCCTAGTGAAACACGGGGCTTGATGGGCTCCAGAGGGTTTCAAACTCTGTTTAGCCTCTGTGAATATGAGGATGTTCTATCTTCTAAAGCATTCTGTACTACTTCAGCTGAGGCAGTGAGAAACATGCTTGAAATAGAAAAAATTTATCACCCTCCAAAAATGAAATACGCTGCCTATGCAATTGCTAACAATAAAATATGAGAGCAGCACTGCACTTGGACCAATGCCTCTATGACCCAGAGCACATATGATGGCATCATTTTCACTTTTTTATAGGGAGTAAAAGAGCAAATATAACAGAAAAAAACATGGCCATCTCGCCAGAATGGAGTGCAAACTTGAAACAATGTCCTTTTCCTGCACTAAGAAAAACAAATCATTGAAGTCACTATTAAGATATATTAATCCACGTATTTATTTGCTTCAGAGATGGACAGATGATTAAAAATATACTGAGCACAGATGTATATGTGTTTGGACACAGAAATGAAACTTTACAAGCTGATGAAATAACTGTAGGATGGTGATATCAATCAGGTGCATCACTACAGAAGGAGAGACTCTATAGCTCTTTCCTCCTCATTCCTGGTAGGTCTGGATGGGGGAATTTAGACCAGATTTGATCCATGTGTGGATACACATAAATAACAAGAAACACAACACAGAGAAGGAGCCTGATGGTAGAAAGGGGGAAGAAACACTTTGGCGCTCACGAATGGACCACTGGCATGGTCCATACAAAATGGCAAGTTATTAAGAATATTTTCATATCAGAAATCCCTAAGGAAAATAATATTGGGAAGAATTAGACCTTCACAGTTCAACAGCAGAGTTTTCTAAAGATTTTGGTTTATCTTAAACATTGTGGTTTGCCACAAAAATGTATTTTCATTTATATCACATACTTAATCCTATGTGAATCCTAGAAAATGTTGCTGCTGAAATTTAATTCACGTGCCCAATTTTGACTACATTTGCCCAGCAAATTGTCCTGAAAATGGGATATTTTAGAACGAAAACACAGGGAGCATGAAAGGTGAAGGTCTTTATTTTCCTACTAAGCTCAAAGAAAATTGGTTACAGGAACATTAAATGGCAAAATGCAGAAGTATTACTTTGATTTGAACTGTTAACTAGCATCAGTGTTTATAATTTTTAAATTGGAACTAACTTAGGATATTATTGCTACAAATACCATCATTAAATGTGCTTGTAAAGGAGTAGTCAGGCTGTATTTAGAGAAATTAACTACCATCAAGAAAGTGGAGGAAGTCTGCATTTCAGAATTAGATTACAGGACCATGTCCATTTTCAATGAAGAATTGTAGTTCATTCCCTAGACTCGTGTGTTTACTGAACTCTACTATTTTTTTTTTCTCTAGAAAAGCTGAGAAATATGGACAAATTACTTTTTGATTTACAGTTTTTTTTATAATCAAAATTACTCTGGTTACAAAGTTCCTCAATAATGAACTAAGTTTGAGCTGCATTTCTATTACATGTCTTATTTTCCCATTCTTTTAAAAGCTAAGTTGACCTAGGAAATGTGATTTCATGAATTCTTGGTATGTTTCCAAAAAATCTATGATTAAATTTATGACTTAAAAGCAGAAGTGATTTTACTTCCTAGAACAATATTTTGCTGTCACTTGTTTTGTGGTATTTATATGTATATAATGTATTTTGCTTATTTTCCTCTCTTAGCTATAGAAAAAAAAAAGATGAAAATCTTAAATCATAACAGCTGCTGCTCGGGAAATCCATTTCATGGGAGAAAATTGGAAAGGTGGCTGGCTACCTATTTATATTTATATGAAATTGGGTTTAAGGACATCAAAGGAATTACACCACACCATGCACTTGTAAACTGTAATGCATGGCATTTACTCACAGAATAAAGTCAATTAAAACCAAGCCATACAGAGAATGTGCACGTGACCTAATATTAAATAGGTTTTCTTTGTTTCTGTGTAGGTGCAAAAACAGAAAATAAAGCCATACCTGCACACAAAGCACATACTCAGTTGCAACCATGTGCTTGAAGATGACTGCAGATCTCAAAACGCCGTGAGGGTCCAGTGAAAACTCCTCCTCTTCATTGCCAGTTAGGATGGTGAAGGTAAAAGGGGGGCCATTGTGAAAAGAGTCCTTGTCTGTCACGACCAGCTGCAAAATGCTCGTGCCCACTGGCTTATTTTCCTTTACACATATACACAGTGCATAAAGAGAAGAATTAAAACAATGCATCTCATGAGAGGGATAAAACAGCAAGTTTCTCTGCTGAGGCTATTTGAGTGAATGCTCTCTGCCCAAGAGGGCACTAGACCATGGCAGTTATTGCCAACTGCCTGCAGTCCTACTGCTGGAAAGGAAGGTGGAGGTACCTGCAGCATCTCCCGTGAGCTCTGCCTGCCACTGGATCTGCTTAGGACAGCCTGAGTAAGACTCACACTCTAAGCAAGGTCTAAGGCAACCTGCCCTAGGATATCACAGCCACACACAGCCCATGACACAAGCCCCTTGGTGCCAAAACAACAGAAATGGGTCAATGTAAGACAACTTGGGGAGCCTCTACTCCACCCCAAAGCTCCAGTACTGACTTTACTAATGTCTTTGAGCTTCTCACAGCTACTGGTCTAAAAACCAGAAACTCTACCCAGAGTTTCCCCAGACAGAAAAGAGAATTTCAGGAAATCTGTTCACTCTCCACCTTCATCCTCTGCATTGCATCACTCCTGAGCTGGAAGGACCTGAGACTTCATGGATTATTTCAGCTAATTCTTTGTCTGGGGAAGGGGCGACAGTTCCCTCTCAGGAGGGATGTGGAGTGTGAGATGGCAGCCGGGGCTGCTGCATGGCAGGGATGGGGAAAGGGGCAAATTTTTGAGGCCAGATTATATTTTCTGGCACAACAAGTAAAATGTGTGACAGATGCTGAGATTAGGGAACCTCGGCAAACAGAAACTTATCAGAGAGTTAAGACAGACAGGTTTACCTTTTCTTTAAACAAAATCTTTTGATAAATCTTTGGCAGATAAATCATCAAAAGCTACTTAAGCAAAACCAAATGCTTTCTTATTTTAAAGGTCAGAGAAGTTTTTGATGTGTAGCATAAACTCACTTGAATTACAGCTGTATAGTTAGCAGGAGTAAACACAGGGCCATTATCGTTCACATCAGAAATGTCTACGTTGACCGTCACAGAGGACGACAGAGCAGGGATGCCGCTGTCTCTTGCCTGAATAACTAACGAATAACCAGATATCTGCAAAAAGGTGAAAACATTATATCAACGTGAATGCAATCCTAAATTTTAATGTATGTTCTTACACCCAACAAACCACCTACCAACTTCTAAGGAAAGATGTCTGGCCCCATTACCTTCCCTGCCCTTTGCATAACATTATCCTGTTTATTACCACACTGTGTCCCAAACTCTGTTTTATAAGGCTATCAACAATCCTAACTCCTTCACAGTATTAAAATGACCAAATTATATCAGATGATGCCTACCTGAAAAAAAGAGACAGACAAAAAAAAAAAAAAAAAGGAAACAGGGAATATCCAAACCGAGCCGTCACTATTTTAGCTAACGTGTTCAGCTTTCCTAGGTGGCAGCTGGAACATGCAACCCGATTCTATTTATCTTATGGTTGGTTGCCAAGATAATATATAAATTACTTCTTATTAGAGCAAGCCTCAATTTGACACACTATTTCTAACACAGTGATGGAGAACCTAGATAAAGCTTACAGGCAGGTGGCTTAAATATACTGAGAAACATTTGGGATTACCAGGGACAACACAGTCTCTGTAGCAACAGGATATTAACCTCCATTCAGCAGAAGATAAGGGTTTTTTTGAGCCTGCTTGTTAGCAACAGCCAAAAACTGCTCATCACTATGTGGGCAGCTCAGAGCAGTTCCACTTGCTAGCACCCATGGTGAACTCTACCCGCTACATCCCTGTGTTCATGAGTGTGAGATGTGAGTGTATGCGACAATTCACAAAATCTGTCTCTGCACAGCTTATGGATGACAATTTCATTTTATGAACTGCATCCTTATGTTGGGCTCCTTATGTCTTATGGCTGTCTTTTACTGTACATTGCTTCATGCTTCTAAGGGAGCTCTGCTGACATATCTGCCCATGAATCCTTCTTAGTTGGAGAGAATGAAAGATTAACTGCCTTCTAGATAAAGAAACACCCGAGCTTACAAACATGGCCTTTCTTTGGGATGTGAGACCATGCTAAGGAAAAAGAGAAATTTTCTGGGGGGTTGTAGGGAAGAGAAAGGCTGCGATTTGGAGGGACGCAAGGGCAGTGGTGGGAGGGAGAATCTTGGGTGAGGGAAGAGTCAATAGAACCTTTATTATTTATCCTTTATGGTTGTGTATTTCTTAGGCTAACTAAGGCCAGAATTGACAGTGTTGTGGGCCTTTTTCAAATTTTGACTTTGCTTTTGCTTGTACATATTGCAGAAGGGTACATGGCAAAACTCAAGATTTCCCAGAATGACAGCTCTGGAAACGAGTTTCGTTAAACAACTGGAGAAACCTGGGAGTCAGCAATGCCTTTGGTGAATTACAACAGATGGGACACCATGTCTCATTTTTTTCCTAAAGGACTCAGAGGCACCTGAGTTCAGGAAATGTGCCAAGGATGCAAAGCAAAAGACAATATTACAGCCTGTTTTAGCCAAGAAAAACATAGGAGCATGCACATCCAACAGAGTTGTTCTTGAACGCACACATGGGCTGGGTAAAAGTGACGTGTATGTCTCTATGCACACATACATACATATACTTTACAGCAATGTGAAAGGCAGAAGCTAAATAAATTGAATTAAGAATTTAAACTTATGTGTTTAGGAAAACATCGTAATGGCTGTGAATGTTCTTTACTATTTCTTTGGCCTCAACAATCTGCAGTAAAGTTATTCCACCAGGGGAATACCAAACACAGACAATTTAATCCTGCTTTCATGATCACATAGAAAGGATATACGTGCCTCTGTTTTAAATAGTGGCCAGGCCTCTGTCAGCGAGCTTTTCCAGCTGAGCCCACATCCAACAGACAGCAATCGGCCTCCCTCGCTTGCAGAACGTACTGTTTGCAGGGCTGAGACACAGATCTCTGTGCTGCAAGACCTTTGAAGCCACGCAGCACTTTCCTGTCCTGATGGCAGCAAAGGCAACTGTGTTTGTGTTTTTTTTTTTCTCCCCCAAAAGCTGCTAATTGCTAACTATGGCAAAATGGTGATAAATCGCCCTGGATGAATAATCCAGTGAGCAAACAAAGCAGTCGAATCTGTTTAATCAAGCACTCTTTCACTTTTGGTACAGCCTGGCCACTTTGTAACATCGCCTCCCCAGGGACGCGTTTTGGGGAGCGCTAATGAAGGGCTGAGGTCTCAGCTCTGCTCGGTGCCCCAGTCTGCCGCGCGCTGTCATCACTCGGGTTCCATCCGCGGCCGCGCCGGAGAGAGCAGGCAGCTCATTAACACCGCAACAGCTGCCGGTGCCACCACGGGAGAAACCCAGCGCTGCTTTGTTCTCCCCAACCCGATCTCAGCTGCTGTGCTGGTGTGGGGTGGGAGCTCTGGCAGAGCAGTTGGCTTGTAGACAGGATCAAGGACTGGGATCGAGTGGGAAGGAAGTAGCACAGCACTAGGAAGAACTGTTGGAACATCTTGGATGATCGGTACAGAGTGAAAAAGCAGCTTCTTCACAATTAGCCAGCAGCAGATTTGAAATCAATATACATCTGCAAGTCATTGTAAGTTAAGAAGTCCCGCTTGCCTTACCCTTTCTCTGTCCAATTTCTTTTTAACCTTCACGAGGCCCAAACCAGGATCAACTGAAAATTCGTTGTCTTGATCACCACTCACTATGGAAAAATGAATCTGGCCATTCAAAGGACTATCCAGATCTTCTGCTATCAACTTTGAGAGAAGAGTAAAAATTAGCAAAACAAGTATTATACCATCTGTATGCTACCTTAATTGCTCAAACTCCCCAAAGTAGGGCTTCATATTTTGTCAGAGGAGTTACGTATGCATGCGCTGTGCACCATTACAGCATCAAGCTGATTACAACTTGGTGGGAAGTGTGTTTTACCCCTCTTCGACTTTTCCAACATTCTAGCATTAAAGACTTGAAATATTTTAACCTTAATACTCAATCTAACCCTTTATTTCTGACACCAATAGCTGCAAGATGAGATTATTGTGAGTTTTGGGTGAGTTTGCTCTGGCATTCCAGGTCAATTACTTACAAATATGATGTATTTCACTGGAAAGCTGATTTCTGCCTTTCCAAAAAAGCTTACTTGTTTCCAGCTGTTCTGACTAAAGAAATACGATGCCTTAAACATAGCATTGTTCTTGGACAGCATATCATGGGGAAAAAAACAGAAACATTCTGTGCTACTATTTCTTCTTTTGGCAGTTGTCTGGAAAGCAGTAGCAGAGGGAACACTGGCTAGAGAACAGGTCCGGGGATTCAAGATGCAGTAGTTATTGTTATTAATTAGCAGAGCAGTATTTTATGAGAGGTCATGTGCCAGAAGGCTTCGTGGCAGCATCCTGTGCGCATGCTGAACTCACCATTATCACAGAGTCACCGATGGCAGCGTCCTCACTGATGACTGCACTGTAGACCACCTGGCTGAACTGGGGCGCGTTGTCATTCACATCCGTCACGTTCACGTTCACCGTCGTAACGGCGCTCAGGGCTGGAGTTCCTCCATCTTTTGCTTCCACTACCAAGTAGAAATCCTTGCACGATTCATAATCCAAAGCTTCTAAAATGGAGATGGCTCCTTTGAAGGAAGGGAGGGAATATCAATAGATAGCAAATGACAAATAATGCTGTAGATTAAAGTATTTGATTGTAGTAAGCAATACTGTATGTTATTTATCAGTATAAATATGCACCATGCTATTCTAACTGCAACACTGTCCAATTAAATAAAAAAGTTTGGTCAGATTCCTCCAGCTGTTGTTTGATTAAAGAATGATGCAAATCACACTTGGGTTACCTCTGTCAAGAGGATCTTCAAAAGACATGCAGCAGTGAATGATTTCTCCAGGAAAATTACTTCTATCATAACTTTTATCAGAAGTGAGGGACCATAGTCTACCCATTTACCCAGCTCATCTACAGACTTGCTGAGAGAACTAGATACAGAGTCTGGAAATCACTGACAAGGCAATGGACATCCAATTCTACCAAACTAAAATTAAGCTTGGAAAACTGGATCAGCAAAGCAGCCTTTATCAGCAAGGTCTGATTTTAACAATACTTAAGCATGACCTAATGTCTTGCGAAAAGCAAATGAATGAGGCATAAATACCTTTGAGAGATCATTTTGCTATAATTCAGGTGACTAAGCATGGATTTAGCCAGTAAACCTGTTAACCAGTGCAGCAAGACCTCATCTAGGAGAGAAATGGTTTTTATACATGTGATCTCTTTGCTTCCAGTGTACCCATAATCTTTCCGAGAGGGTTTGTTCATTTGTTTTTGCATAGATTACCACCAATGCCTTGAAGGAGGTAATATTGGGCACAGCAATATTAAAAGTAAAACCTTAACTTCAGTGAGACAAATCTTTTTTAGCATAGACTCGTTAGCAGCAGGGGTGTATGGGAATGTGGAAATCATTTAATCCAGCTACTGTCCCAGCTAGAGCTAACATTTCTTCAGATCATATACATATTCTTAAAAATCTCCAACAGCATCAGGTTCTTAACTTTCTCAGGCAATATACTCATGTTCTTCGCTATCATCACAGTAAGGACTTTCTTCCTATCACTTAAAGGAAATCATCCACATGCAATGTAAACCCATTCATGACTTCTCAAGAGGGGACACGGAGAATGATTTATTCTCCTTTCCGCAACTACTTTTTACATCTCTGAATACCCTCACCATCCCTTTGCTGTTCTACCTTAAATAGCCTCAATTTCCTTAGCTTTTCCTTGCAATTCAAGTGTTATAGACTTCAGATCATTATTCTTAATCCCATCTGGACTCTTTGCAAATTAATCCCACCCTTCAGCATGATTTGTTGAAACCAGGAGCCCTGAGGAGAATCTTCCAAAAGGCTAGCAGGGAGTTTCCACTGATAAATGGCATGAGAAGCATTATTTTTCAAACCTCGATCAAGCATGCTGCATCAGCACACAGCTGTCTGGAATCTCAGCTCCTGCTTCCAAACTGATAATAATGGAGCTGTCACACATTAATGAATAATAAATAGGATTTTTTTTTCCTATGTGATTAAGCTTCATCATGGGTTTTTATTGATTTATCTTCTTGGCTTCATTGTCAAATGTGAAGTTAAATATTGCTGTCTAGGCATATTTATGTTTAAATTTTGTTAGCACTAATCAACATTATGAAGATAATAGATAACACTCAATTATGTTATTTTAAGTCCCTTACAAGTGGCCTGCATAGAGGATGGAGATTTTTGCTTTCAGTAATATAAAGGATACCCTGCATCATCTTGAGACTTTCCAGATTATAGATGCAGTCAAACAAGTGTTACCTTCAGCTTTCAAAACTAAGGTTGTTCAGCCCTGAAGTTCAGGCCGCGAGTTTGTACTGGTCTTCCTGAGTATTATGAAAATAAGGGGATCTACTACATAAAGTACAGAAGAATCACAGATTATTGCTGGTTGCTGGATTAAAACCTCAACAAGGACAAAGAACATGTCCTATTAAAAATAGGATTCGAAAAACAGGATTCAAATGAGGCAGCACTTAACATTTCTTAAAAAGCAGGAGTGACATGTTTCTAAAGTTTGTCATGTTAACCAAAAAATGCACAGCTGGAGTCAATTGTCAGACAACATAGATCGGGAACAACCTAAATTAGTGCAGCCACAGATAGCTGAATACTGTATAGTCACTGTCTGACATATTAGGTCTGCAAACTACTTGGTCCTCTGATGATTGCCAAGCTCTAGATTACTGAGGCTTTTCTCAATGGTACCATTTAAATATTTTAAGTGGTCATAACTGCAAGGTTTGGCTATTGGGATGTCACATAGATGTTGACTTCCACAGAACACTACTGGAGAAAGGAATTCTCCACTTGAGTTGGGATAGTTGAGCGTAACTGTAATTTACATCAATTTTTACAGTAAAATTGATTTGTAAAGGTGAAACTAATTACACATTGGCAGATTCTGCATCTGTGTCTCTGGAACTGTTTGAGTCCAACAGATCTACTCAAAGTATTGACGTTTTTCTCATGCACTACAAATAAAAGCCACTTTACAAACCTGTTTTTGAGTTAATCCTGAACTTTCCTTTCTCATTCCCAGATCTGATGAGGTAAGTGATCTCAGCATTAGTACCAATGTCTTGGCTTGTAGCAAAAACAGAAAGGACTTCAGTGCCAGGTGAGGTGTCTTCAGGTACAGTAACAAGATAATCTCTTCTTTCAAACACGGGGGGATTGTCATTAATGTCTAGCACTGTAATAGTGACAGTGGCAAATGAGGACAAGGTCAGCACAATGCTTTGGTCCGAGGCCTTTACACTGATGTTATACGAGGACTGCAGCTCTCTGTCAAGTGGATGCTCCAAAATAATGATTCCTGATGACTGGTCGACTGAGAAGTAACCATCTGCAGAGTCTGCCAGGGAATAGACAACTTTCCTATTCACACCTGAAAGAGAAACAAATGTGAAAATTGGAACAGTAGGAAAAAAAAAAAAGTCCCCTCTCCATTTCTAGTGGAAAACCTAAGCAAAATCTGCTGCCACAGTTATCGTTTCCAATGTGGTTAGAGTGAATGCACATAGGTGTACCTAAGGGGACAATATGGCTGAAAGTTTGGGAGGTAAGGACATGTTCTTCTTACCTGACAAATCCCTGGGGATAAATTAGATTTCTTCCTTCAGCATGATACTTTGGAGGAAAAAAAAAAACACAAAAAACAAAACAAAAAAACCCCACTACTTTGCAGAACTCCTATGTAATGAAACAGAATCCTGATATGGTCCTTGCCCAGGAAAACTTACAGTTGAATTGGATGAGACAGGCAGTATGCTGAAAATGAAATGGCTCAGAGCACATTTTGAAGGAATAGAAATGTCCATGAGGAAAAAATAAACCCATAAAAATATATGTCAGGTGGTATAATACGTACACTTGCTACTGATGCTGCCCTGATTCCACCATTGAGAAGCAAAACATTAGCATAATGAGATGATATCTGTTAGACAAAAGCTGCCCCAAAGAATTCCTGCAAGAACAAAGAATTCCTGCATTTTGCAAAGAAAGTGCCCTTCCTCCCCTTTTGAGAACAAACACTGAATTTTACAACGATATCCTGTGCTTTTCAAATCCTGCCTGTATTTCCCAACACATAAATCCTATCCACGCAGCTGCTGAACACGCAGATCTCAATGCGAAAGTTGTTGCCAGTAATAAGGCCTGAGGGGAAGGCAGTGCCTTGGCTCTCTGCTGCACTAAGTGGGATAGCCATTTCAAATCTAATTAAAAGTGAGCACAGATACAACCTCATTCGAGCTCCCTTGATGCCGCTTTATTTTATACTTTGGTCCTGAGTGCCGCACTAAGAGATTGTAACTAAAACACCAAGATCCACTAAATTGGTGAGTCTGTAACATCTCACGCTTGAGCATTTGCTGCCCTTTCAGGGGAGAGAACAGGCTTTACAAGCCTGACATTAATCAGCTGAACAAGAGCTACCAATGCCTTCTAGGCATATTTTGTTAATTCGAAATTGGTGACACTATTATTCTGCTTTCCAGCAGCAGCAAAGCACTGTAGAAACGCCTGATCAAAAGCAGCACAAATCACGTTTGTTTTCTGCTTGGCGTAGCAGGAGCAGAAGATCCTCACAAGGGGGAGCTGGGGACTCTCTTCTTCAACCGCGCTCACATAAAAGCCAGAGCAGCTACAAAACACCAGCCCCTGCTCAGGTAGCATTGGGAATCACTGTCTGGCCTCTTCAGGGAATAAAGTTTTTATATGGTGCTTGTGACACCACAGTGTGTATCTCAAACATTCAAAAGTCTTTAAAATAAATAAAAGTTTAAGCACCAATATTGCTTTTTTTTTTTTACCTTTTTTTTTTTTAATCACAGCAGAACCTCTCTATTCACCAAGGCATCACAAATGTTATAAAAATCAGCTGTTTCCTTCAGGAAAACAGCAAGACAGGCAAGAAAGGGATAAAATCCATTTCTGTGCACATTGCACACAGGAGAAAGGAGCTCAGCATGGAAGCTGGTCCAGGACTCCTCCATGTCTTGAGACACCCAGACGCCAAACACCCTGCAACCTGCTGGAAACCTAGCTGGTCCAGAACTTGTCCCATGTCTTGAGACACTCGGACACCAAACACCCTGCAACCTGCTGGAAACCACGGTCACCGCTTCGCTCAGCTCTCCGTATGTGCATTCAAATGTTTATATGGGTATTCAACACTCGTCAACCAGCTCGGCTGAAAATAGTGCAAGGGTATCTGTCAGTTTCTGTGTAGAATTAAGCACTTCTCTGGAGCAGGGACGTTAGCACACACCTTCCAAGGGTATGTATCCATGACTGTGTAAGAGACTTAGCCTGGGTTTATTTTGCTTTTCTCCAGCACAAAGACTCCTATCTGATACTTGGCATAGCGGTATCTGAGCACAACACAGAAAATTCGGACAGTATGTTCTTTAAGGGTACAAATAACCTGCGTGGATGGCTTACCCACGACTTGTGTCTTGAAACACCTCAGAACTTCAGCAAGAAGATCTTGCATAGCAGAATGGACAAAGAGGCACAACCTGGTGCATCTGACAACATGTGGAATGAGTTTACATAGAAGAAGCTATAATCCTGGTGACTACAATCTGATCGAAATAGACCACTCCTCTCAGACTCTGCTATTTAATGGTCATATGCCTTAACTAAGAAAGTATTATTTTTGTTCTTTTATAAGTGACTGCTAGTGATACCACAAAGAAGTCAATTCAGATACACATTTTAGAGTTTTGAATTCTAAGATAAGGGATTTCCAGGCAGAAATTGAGAGTGCGTTATTTCTTGAAGACAAATGTTTCTTCCTGAAAAAAGAGACTGCTTTGATGATGAAAACAGTCTTATTTTGCCCATGGGACCTGGAGGAAAGGCTCTTGCAGGTGGAATTGCTATCTTATATGAAGAGAGACAGAAGACCAGTATCGGAAGATCTCAACCGGGACACTGACAGATAACAGTCCTTGATGACTTTCAGGCACAGGAGGAAGAGAAGAAATACAGATATCAGCCACCTGCAACTTTGCTCCTTAAGTGATCTGTGAGGCTGGATTGTAATGCTTGGTTCTTGTGAGAAAAATGCATCCAGTGAAAAGCTCCTGCAGGAAAAGCACTTAGGAAAAAAATGCTGGATTTTATCAGTCACTGCCTCCACTCGGCTTCTGGATCTGAGACTGGCAACAAACTAGGCAGGAGGCACAGATGAGGTAGGAAGTTATTTCTACAGAGATCCAAAATGCTTGAGCCTTATGGGCTATCATCTACTGAGAAACAAGCATCCACCACTGTGTGTCAGTGGTTGCCCTGCCGTGGAGAGGTTGGCAGACACTGCTGGGATTTCAAAGGAGATAATTGTGTGAAAAGGAAACCACTGCTCCAGCGCCTCTGCTCCTGCACGGGTGACGAGAGCAATCCCTCCACGTGCTTGCCGCAGCTGTCGGGGGATTAATGTTTGCAAACTGCGTTCTGCCTATTCACTCACCCACTGAACTCCTGCAATTTCTAAGGTGCCAATCACTAACAGAAGCTGTTCGAATGTGGAAAGCTTTGCAGGCATTATTATTACTATAAGAGGATTGAAGTATTTTTTTTTAATGAAGGAATAAGCTATTTTGTTTTATATTTAGACTTGTATTAGCATATGATAGAATAGTGTCCTTTGCCAAATCTCTGATTGAAAAGCTTGTGCAACTTACAGCTTTTTACTACCACAAATGCCGTCCTTCAGGTTTTTTTTTCCTTGTTTCTCCTCTACTAAAACAAAGGAGCATGTACTGAATGTCACGCAATGACATCTTGTGTGTCACTACTACTGCAAACAGCACCAGGCAAACAAAATACTTCTCCTTATAATGTAGGGATCACTTTTCTCCTCGTCTAACTCAACTGAAAATGATGGAGTTACAGCATGGGTTGACCCAGACTGACATCGATAAAGGGTTGAGGTTACCACAACAGACACAGTCCGCATCTGACAGTGAATTTCTGCAGTGGGCTTTTCCTGATCACTGTTTCACATAGAAATAAAGCTTTAGATACATTAAAGTCAATTAAAGTATATTTCTCCTTCCTGTTTTCATCTATCACTCAAAATTCATAATCTGATGCGTTTCCCCAAGTACAGGTATCCTACCTACCTCTTTCTTATTTATGTGAGGAAAATGAAGTTTAACTTTGCCAGCTGCTAATTTCTAACCGGAGTTTCATAAGAAACCCAGAAAGGAAGATTTGGGAGAGGTCACTTTTGAATACCTTCGGAAAGAGGTAATGGCAAGTATTATAAGCAAACAAGCAAGAAGCAAAATAGAAACTTGCCCAGAAAGAAAGCTTTAAAATTCGCTATATACTTCTCAAGTTAGTAGTAATTTGTAAGCATGGTAGCTGATTATTGTGCATCCTCTTGCCTTTTTCATGGTGTGATTATTAACATTGGCATGCACCTCTGGCCTTTCCCAACTACACAAATATTAACCACTACACCAATTACTGAAAATTAAAATGCCACAGCTTCACTAACAGCAAACAAGACACAAAAGACAAATAACAAACCAAATTTTATAATACACTACTCTATCATTTTAAGATGAAAGAGAAATCTTGCCAGAAGTAACTTGCTCAACTGCAGAAGAAACTATAGCCCCATAGGGTAAGATATTCCAAGTAATTTCTGCAATCTAAACAGAAAAGCTGGCCAAGTTCAATCTATACTACCTTTACCAAGACAAGCTTTGGCTGCTTTGTCCAATTTCTTGTTGGGGAATGGTGGCCCTAACCCCATGAAAGCCTCTTCTTGCACATGTCGTCCAAGAGAATCACGGTGCCATAAGATCGAAACATAGCCACAGAGGAAGAGTTAAAGACACTAACCCATTACTGCAAATATTTGACATATGCAGTGGGCATAAGCTTTTAGCATTATGACACCTTCCACTGTCTGTCTTCCCCCCTGCAGGGGAGGGGTCGGGATGGTTGGTTCTTTCTCCCGCTCTTTTCCATCAGAGATTTATTTAGCCAGGGTTTTGGCCTGACTGAATACTTGCTCTCATCAATGGTCTTGAGTGTTTCACATCAACGTACTGATCAGGCATAGGCTTGAGTATTTTTTAAAGTGGAGGAGGCTGTACAGTTATCATTGGCATGAACACCAGTGGGATTGTTGCCACTGGCTGTGGTAACACTGCATCTGATGTCGGGCAATGTTGTATTGTACTAAAATACTGATCTGCAGCAATCGAGTATGTATATATGTATATACATACACACATACGTATGTTTCAGTGACCCAATTTATACACAGGGATTATTCAAGCTACATAACCCAGGAGGTATGATTTTCCTTGTCATACATCTCATTCTTTTCTCCCACATTGTTTAAAATGCCTTAGAAAACTCCAA